GGTTACATCTATACTCTACAAAAGCAAAAATAAAAAACAAAAACAATCTAGATCCATGACTCTATTAATTAAAATTAAAACCTTCAATTAAAAAACTTCTGGAACACGAGGTTTCATGTAGAGGAGGGAAGGTAAAACACTGTGAAAATACTATGTGCAGATATAATCTCCTTCCCCTGTTCTGGAACATGAGGTTTCATGTAGAGGATGGAAGGTAAAAAAACACTGTGAAAACACTATGTGCAGATATAATCTCCTTCCCCTGAAAGGAAATGCATGCCTCCCCCCCCAAAAAAAAAAACAGAACCAAAGAGGTCACAGATTTGCATAAACTTTGCATTTCTTAATATGCATGCCTAGGTGCATATTTCAGAAATAAGGACTAACATTTAAATAGAAATGTGAATCTTGACTATGACCAAATAATATTGTATGTCTGGATAATGATCTGACACTAATGATTTATGGGCAACTTGCGGGCTCCTCGTCATTTTTCCTCTTCATATAAATTGGATGTGAATTGTACAGTCTTTTAAATAAGCAAAGAAAAAATAGGACCCTTTAAGGAAGTATATTTAGTGTAGTGTAGTGTAGTGGGTAAAATGATAGCCTAGTTCTCAGGAGAACTGGGTTCAAATCCCCACTCAGCCATAGAAACTCACTAGGAGGTGGAATGGGTAAAACTATTCCTTAAATATCTCACTTACCTTGAAAGCCCTAATGGTGCTATAAGTTTCGACATGACAGCACATGACACACACATAACATTTTTTAAAAATTGTCCTTGGACAGCGTATAGAACAGAGGACTGTCAAGCAGAACACATGGTCACTTTCCTGCCATTTTAGAGTGACCATGAGCTGGTTGCTGTAGGTTTTTTGGGCTGTTTGGCTGTGTTCCAGAATACGGCCAAACAGCCCGAAAAACCTACAACCACCATTGGATCCTGGACGTGAAAACCTTCAAGAATACATTTGAGTTTCCCACAGTTCCTGTGACCCAGCATTATTCTGTGGTATTTCAACAAATCTGAAGGGTGGTTTGGAGTGTTCCTACTATGGCTTAACAATAAGCCCAACACAACAGAGAGGAGAGAGGGCTGTAGTATAATCAAGGCAGGTCCAGCTCAACAACCAGGTTGAAGCAGCTTTATCCCTCAACTTTGAGAATACATTTGAGTTTCCCACAGTTCCTGTGACCCAGCATTATTCTGTGGTATTTCAACAAATCTGAAGGGTGGTTTGGAGTGTTCCTACTATGGCTTAACAATAAGCCCAACACGACTGAGAGAGGAGAGGGCTGTAGTATAATCAAGGCAGGTCCAGCTCAACAACCAGGTTGAAGCAGCTTTATCCCTCCGCGGCATGATAGAAGGCCAGCAAATTGCTCTTTAATTTCTTATCGCATCTTTACTATCATGGAAGGAGAAAGGTCCCTTACAGGTCTTTGGCCATACATATTTGCCTGCCATTGTGTACTATACACCTTGAAGGTGGAGGTGTCACTTGTTTTTCTATCTCAAGTGGCAACCAAATCTTTTTGGTCAGCCTTGGTTGCAGTTGGAATAAAAAATACTGTTCTGTTCGTCCACTAACGCATTTACCTCATAATCTCTGAGGCAGACTTCTGCCAGCTGCACTACCTGACCATTGATATCCCTGAACTGATATCTAAGTAAGGCTACAACAATAAACGTGTTTCATGTTGTACCCTTGGCATGTATTTCTATATGCAATACACATTCTAGACAAACTGTTTTTCTAACAGGTGGTGATTCTGAGCTGTTCAGACATGGTTCGCAGGCACCAGAGAGCATGGAAATGGCCACGGAGGATACTGTGGATGGGAGTTTTTGGTGCCGTTATTCAAAGAAGGACAAGATGTGTGATAATAGTGGGAGATACTCTATTGAGGTGGATGGAGACAGCAATCTGTGGATCTGACAGTATGTCTCAGAAGGGGTGCTGCCTCCTTGGAGCAAAGATCCAGGACATGACAGAGGGCTTGCTAAAAATCATCAAGCTCACCGACCATCATCCTTTCCTTGTGATCCACGTGGGAACAAATGATACTTCCAGGTAAACCCTTCAGCATCTTCCAAAGAAATAAAAGGCTGTGAATCAGAAGCTGAAGAACCTTGGGTCCCTGTTCAATATTTTTATAAATATATTGGGTGAATGTGTGGAGTGGATGTTCATCAAATGTCCAATGATACCAGACCTCAAGGAGTAGTTAATACTTCAGAGGACAAAATCATGATTCAAGAGGGCCTTGATAGGTTGTAAAACTGGGCCAAAAGAAAGAAAATGATTTTTTTTAAAAAAATGTAAAGTCCTGCACTTAGATGGGGAAAAATGAGCTGTAAATATATAGAATGGGAGACAGCTGGCCTGGTGCTTGTGGAAAGGACCTGTGTGTCTTAGTGGACAAGCTGAACAGTGTGACACAGAGAAAAAAATAATGCCATATTAGGCTGCAACAATAGAAGTATAGAGTCCAGATCAAAGGATGTAATTACAGTGGTGCCTCGCTTAACGATGATATTCCACTCCAGGAAAATCACTGTTAAGTGAAAACATCGTAAAACGAAATTAAAAACCCCATTGAAATGCAATGAAACCCATTCAATGTGTTCCAGTGGGGTAAAAACTCCCCGTCCAGCGAAGATCCTCCATACAGCAGCCATTTTTGCTGCCTGTATAGCAAGGAATCCATCCCTAAATACAGCGGGGAGCCATTTTAAGCACCCGGCGGCCATTTTGAAAACCCGACAATCAGCTGTTTTTGATAGTCGTAAAGTGAAAATCGGTTCCCGAAGCAGGGAACCGATCATCGCTAAGTGAAATTCCCCCTTTTAGACCATCATTTTGAGATCACAATTGTGATCGCAAAAAGATCGTCGTAAAGCGGATTCATCGTAATGCGGGGCAGTAGTTAAGCGAGGCACCACTGTATACCACTATTGTGGTCTGGTCTGGAAAACCTCAAAGGTTCCTTGACCCAGTGGAAGGTAAGGTGTTTTCCAGACTACAACAAGCAATCTGCTTTGATCTGGAATACTGTATCCAATTCTGGGCACCACAGTTTAAGGAGGGTCTTGAGAAGCTGGAATGTATACAGAAGAGGGTGACCGGCAAGCCAATATTTATAAAGAACTGCTGATGGCGTGCTCTCAGGGTCTTGAGAAGCTGGAATGTATACAAATGAGGGTGACCGGCAAGCCAATATTTATAAAGAACTGCTGATGGAATTAAGCATATTTAGCCTGGAGGTAATGTGAAAGCCATCTCAGATATTTGAAAGGCTTTCCTGTGGAGTACAGGGATGGCACAAGCTTTCTTTGTCTTGCTCTACAGGGTAGGACTTGAAGTAATGGATCCAAATTACAAGAGAGTTGACTTCAAGCAAACATTGGGAAGGACGTCCTGACCGTAAGAGCTGTTCTCACAGCGGAACAGATTTTGGCCCAGTGTTCTTGAGGATGAAAACTATGCTGAGTAATAACAAGAAAACACAGAACAAAGCACACAGAGACTGCTGTCACAGAGCCAGGGAGGGGAAGGAAGACAAACGGCTTCTGTGCTTTCTGCAACAGTGCTTGACGGGGCGAGTGGAGAGGGAGGATAAGACTGAGAACAGAACATGTTAATGTGTTCCTGGCTAATTGCCAAAGTAAGCTTCCTCTTAATTATGTTAATGTTTTGATTTTTTTAAAAATAAGTCACCCCAAAGGAATGTGTATTTACAAGTCAAAGAATTTGGGGAGGGGGCATTCAGAAACGTGGAAGGACTTATTGACTGAAATTCTCTGACATGCAATGGAAACAAAATGATGCTATCTGATGCTCTGTGGGGTCTCTT